AACGAACGAGCTGGGAGAGCGACCTTTATACACTGTAGCCACGCCCCTTTTGGCGGGCTGTGACGCAGTAAGCGAGCGCCGTCCGCTCATTGGCCGCGGACTCAGCGCCGCTCTCCCATAGGTTCGTGCATTCTCTCTGAGCGAACCAATGAGCCGCTAGCTAGCCCGCTCATGGTCTGCCTCAGAAGAGACTGCGTTGACAATGATTACAAAATTATGGAATAATTTTTTGGCTTCAACTTCTCAGCAAAGATGAATCTTTCCCGTAGCGTAAGCTAGCTTACGCAATACTCGTTCCCTCATCTAGAGAGAACCGAGGTTACGTTAGGTAACCGATTCGTTTTCAATGTTACATGATCCTTCTGAAATCACTCTAGTTGAAATGAAATCTGTGGATGAATAGAAAGTTCAAAAGAAGATTTATATGAATAGAAATCTTTTCTAACATTATAAATGTCTTTACAGTCAGTGGTGATCAATGTAAAGCTGAATAAAATCTTTTTATTCGATCTTTTCTTTAAAAAAAAAACTTTCAACAGTAGTGCAATGTTACTAGACAAAAAAATGTTTATTGTGTAACTACATTGTTTTATCCGATGACGACACCTCTGTCAAAAACAGTATGTTATTGTGGTAAATGCCTTTTTTGGTTTCTGTCTGTCTGCCTTTACTTGGCTGAAGTTCTTAAAATAAATTAACCTAGCCTTGCAAACATGGGTGAAAACAGCAAATGTGTTAAATAGCACGCAAAACAGTTTAGACAGTTGTGCTTACTGATTTGAGAACAAGTACTAAAATTGGAAAAACGTGGCAAATCATCAGAAAAAAACATACTGTTTTGTTCACCAAGCATCACATTAAGACGTGTGCATTGTTTGACAGCTGCGTGGCACACATGATGGAAGAGGACAGTCAGAAGAATTATTTCCAAAACTGTGATCAAATTAAATTTTCTAATTAATCTAAACTCATCACTTCCTTCTAAACGCACAAAACAAAATTACCCATCTGTCCATATGACTGAGGATCTGTGTGCCTGTGTGAATGATGCTTTGTCTAACAGCTTGTCGCAATATAAGGAGACTGATGTATTGTAAACAAGCCAGTAGATGTGCTTAAGTTAATCAAGAGAAAGCTAAACAGTATAAGCTGGTCAGATCACATTTGCCTCTATGCAACAAAAAAGCTGTTCTATATATACACTAGTCTCATTAAAGAACAGACATTCTCAACTTTTTGACATCAATATTTTCTAGCTTGTATTAACTAGAAAGATATATTAGTATAAAAATAAAGGGCAATTGTTTTGCCTTATTTTAAATGATTTTAAGTCATCTTGAGCGCCCTAGTCTGAGAATCACTGATCTAAACTCTACAAACTTTGACTAGATTGTGTGACAGAAGACAATGAATATATAAAAGTTAACTTTGTAAGTTGGATTCAAACGTCTGTAAAGGTGTACTATTTTTCAAATGCCTCTGTTATTCCATGTGTATAAACAAGGAAAAAATACCAACTATACAAACTCGGTTTTGATTTTAGAGAGAACAAATGAAGCTATTTTTAGCTATTCAATCTCCTCCTCTGCAACAATGAGGGCACAAATTTGTTATTTTCTAGACAAACAAACAAACAACGGCTGGCAGACTTTTCCCATCATCGATAGGAGGAAAACATTTTGATTTTCTCCATCTAAACAGATAGCAGGTGGCGAAATGAAAGACATCACACATCTTTTATAGACCCAAATGACACCAGAAGGAATGTCTTTGATGTCGCAGCATTGTTCAACTAGCAGAAACAATAGCATCTTCCTCTGCCAGCATGCATCTGTCTCTCCACTGACGGAAGTTAATTGAGATGGGACAGTCTTTTTCCATAGCCACTCTCCTGCAGATAATCGCGATCCCAGACATAAATACACTGAGATGGCATCCCACAGACTTAAAAAAAAACAACAACAACAACAACGAGAAGATGTCTCTTGGCATAAAGTAGTAGTAAACTATTATATTTAACAAGCACATGTTGCCCTCCTACATCACTAATATTGACAGTGTACGGATGTAAATATCCACCTAAAATCTTATCAGTGAATATATGAGAGACTCGGATGTTATACCCCCTGAAACAACCTCAACGCATGCTCCTTCATCCATTTTAATGATCCTTACGTCCTGATGGCGGAGACTAATTATTGCCTATTATAAAACTCAACAGCAGTGATAGAGAGGAGCGGAGCTGGTCGGACGTGTACGGCGGTAGTCTGGAGCTCTGCTTTATCTGCGTGCTGATGAATAAGTCTAATCTATCATATGTCTGGGAAAGCCCCAAGGCCTCCAGGATGAAAAGCTGCCAGTAAGTGAGCAGCAGTTAATGTGTGAACTGTGACTTAAAAGTTCACCACACTGCATGCATGTGTATTGTTAGCATTGAATTGGGATTTCTATGGGTGTAAATATTTGCTCTGATTGCTTGAATAAATATCGATTTTTAAAATGAACAATAATTGGAACGTGTTCACAAATGTGTTATAATTGAGCTAAGGCTACAGTAGTATGTCCACATTAATCCATATACATTCAAAGACGCATCTTCTCTACATTTTGGCTTTTCGTCCACACTTTTTTTTGAAGACCTTAGTGAATGAATGTGAAAACGATGTGTTTTTTTTTACGTTTTATTTTCCAAATAATAATGTTTAGTCATGCGATGTATTTTGTAATAATAACCTATATGTCTGTGGTTGTACTGCTATTGCTGTGCCTGCTATTTGCTTTCATATTGATGCTAAAGATAAATGTTACTTTGTACAAGCTTTATATCACATTCCTGCAAAGATGACAGAACATTTATTTGCAATTGATGTACCAAGTCAAAACATGTTGACAGTAGAATAAGATCATACATGGAATGATGATTTTGAGTGCGACCTTAACTGCACCAGTGAGTGGTGGGATATTTTGGTAATAAAAATGATAATGCCAGAAGAATAGAATGAGAATATTATGTTTGGTCTCTCTGTATCTCAGTATTGATTTTTTATTTATTTGGTATTGTGCTCAGCTAAATAAACAACACAGGTTTACTGTGTGTGTGTGTGTGTGTGTGTGTGTGTGTGTGCGCGCGCGCGTGCATAAAGTGACTCTGCTGCTTGAAAACAGACTCTTTTGAGGAAATAGTGGATTTCCATTCATTTGTTGGTCTATTCAAAGTGCTATGCGTGAATACTGCAGGCTCACTTTAGCTCATGTTCAAGGTAAATCATCAAAACTATCATCCCTTACATGTGTTTAATTCAACTAAATACATCATAATTGGCTAAAGCGCATGTGCAGGTTACTTTACTTCCTGAACAAGTACGCACCGGAGTCCGTGTTGCTTTTACATTCACGCGAACAGTTTGAGTGCAACCGAACTCAGACCTCCAGGTAGTCTCGGGTTCGGTACCCCAGTGCACACCCAGGTCCGCATGACAGCTTTCACATTAGCGATTTTTCGTGCGAACCATGCCCTGTTCCGAATTAAACTGCCAGTGTGAAAGCACCCTAACATACTCCACACTGATGAAGCAGCCACACTGATAAATTATTTCATAATGCTTTGTCTGTAAATTATGGTTTTATATTATCAAAACACTAACTCTTGTGCAATATCGAATGGGCGTTGATACGGTTTTCTTTGCAGCAACATTTCCAAATCATAACAGTGGCTGTTAACTGAAAAGCTCCACTGTAAAGGATACGCCCCTTAGTAATGGATAATTTCAGAAAGAGGGTCAGAATGAGGGTTGAAAATATTCATTTTTATGCATTTATGCATAATTGTTTGTTGTTGTTTTTTTGTTTTTTTTTTTACAAAAAAAAACTTTATTAACATTATAAGTGAACCTCAAGGAACATATTAATGACCCCATTAAAATGAAAACGTAACTTTCAAATATATCTGGATTACTGTGCACGTAGCCTAAAATGGTCAGTTCATTTAGAGCAGAGGTGTCCAATGGGCTATAATATATGCACGCATAAATTCCGCATTTGACGCAAGGATGCTCGTCCATTTCCGGTTGTGGAGATTAAAGCGGAGGAAAACGGGATTATGGCAGAGTCTTCAAAATCTACTGACCTCCCTTCTTTGAAACGAAACGTACATACGTTTAGATGTCATTTTATATATAGTTATGTTTATTTAATATAATTTTAAAAAGAAGCATAAACACAACGAGGGGTGTCTGTTTCATCTGTTTTTGTGACTAACGTTTCTTTAGTATAACCATGGAGTATAAAATTCAATATAAATTCTAGGTATTGCATTGGACTCTACGATCGGCGGAAGGTATCGAGCATCCTTACACCGTGACCTTCCCCGGAAATACCGCCGTGCATAGAGCCCATTCTACTCCTAAAGGGCCGACTCTTGCAGAGTTCAGCCCCAGCTCTGATTAAACACCTGTACGAGCTAATCAAGCTCTTCAAAATGACTTGACACTTCATGGCAGATGTGTTGGAAGGAGCTGAACTCTTTATCAGGAAAGATGGCCGTCCAGAAGAAGTATTGGTACACTCCTGATTTACAGTGTTTTCATTCAAGTCACAATTCTTGCAAATCATCCTGAAATGAATCCAGCGGCCAAAAAAAACAAACATTTTTGTGACAATGCGATTAAGAAAGCTGCAATGGAGCCATACACACAATCACTCACATCATTCCAGCTGCAACGGAAAGAGTATGTTCCAAGAAGAGCTTACTCTATTCTCACACTCTCAATCAACAACACAGAACTAGACTTGCCAGAAAAAAGCAAAGACTACTAAAACTGCATATAAAATGTATAAGGATGAACAATATAGAGAAACCATATTTTTTTTTATCTCCCAATATTCACGATTATTTCATTTATCCATATTGGTCAATACAAAACATTTTTACACCCCCTACTGAGAACATGAGCACAAAACATGCAACCTTTATAGAGGCGTGTGGATGTACTTTGTCCTACCTCAGTGTGAACTGCTCAGTGGTGGCAGCAGAATTCATTAGGACTTGAAATCCCACAGTCTGTCCCTGTTTAACTGGGATCGGGGGTGCCAGAATCTCGACATCTCCATCCAGTCTAAGTCGGTTTCTGGACGCTTTGTTCTCCCCAGAAGAGAGAGTCACCGTCCCAATTCTCTGCATATCCCCTTCTTGTCCAACAGCTTTTCCTTGTGCCCTTCCTGCTATGCACTCTTTTCCCAGGGTATCTGGAGGAAGGATGGAGTAGTGCAACTCAACCGTTATTGCAACGGGTTCCTGTGTGCGTCTACGTGGCGGAGGAGCGTTGAACCAGGTCGTAGGGATGTCAAGCTGGGATACACAGACACCCATGTTTCCCTCCAGGCGACAGGCGGTTGACACAGAACCTTCCCCTGGATCACGGATGCCAACGACACGGATACACGGGAGTAGTTCCGCAGGAGGATCCATATCCTCCCATCTGCGGCCTGCCAGGTAAAACAACACCTGTATTTGAGGGCGATCGACTCCTATCCTCCTGCTCACAAGGTGTGCTCTCACCTTCCAGCCCAGCGTGAGGTGTGTAGAGGTGTGGAATGAACGTGGAAGTGCCCCCTGGAGGAGCTCTGGTGGTACTGGCGCCTCTGCAGTGAGGTTGCCATAGCTACAGTTGACTGACAACATGGAAGTGGAGCCAGCATCGGGCAAGTGGAGAAAGAGAGGCTCGCTGCGTGTCTGCAAGCTCCCGTTACGCATCACTTCCTGTGTGGCCTCCCGGAGAAAGAAGGATGACTCTGCACCCTGTAGTTGGCAGGACACGGGAAGGTATGTGGGCAAGGATGAGGAGAACCTGGGCACAAGATCACTACCTCCACCCCTGCTCTCACACACTGCGGAGAGAAAGAGAAAGAGATTTATCTGTATGTTGATTTAATTTCAGAGACACTTACAATGTTTTTACAAGTCAAAATTGCTTTTTGTTATAATTTAAAGTGTCCCCTGGCTTTCATTTTATCTCGTTCAACAAGATCATTTATTTACAGAGAAACAAATTAAATTAAGGCCAAGGGTCTTTGGAAAGATAATTGTATAAGTGTGTTTAGAGAGTAAGTCAATGTTCTGAGTTCAAAAAAACAGAGAAAGATTCAGAGAGAAAATTATGTTATAAATATACGCTAAAATAATTTGTTCTTGTGATGACAAAGCTAAATAGCATCACCACTAGCAAATCTCCAAATTCTCAAAAGTAGCTGTTCCGTTAACACAAGACCACCCAGAAACACAAGCCCTTAAGCTGTCAAACTTGAGCCAAGCCGCAAATAACAACTTACTCAGGAGCTGTGAAAATGACATCACAAAATGAGGCATCAAAATTGGCATCAAACATGATGGGTAGCTATTTAGTTGAGAAATGCCAATTTTTGCCTTTTTAAACAACCTGCATTTTCAAATACAAATTTTCAATGCTATGCTTTACCAGTTGAAAAACATTAATCATTTGTAGCCCCTCTGACTCACATTCACACATGCTTCCAACTCCATTGGACATGATATGCCACTGCAATGCCTTTGTGAGTGTGTCTTTCTGTGAGCTTCAGGGTGTAATAGCGATGGTGGAAATGTGCTCTTTTTGTGCTAAGGGACGACTTGTTTGAACTCTTCTTAAAACATGACCCAAAAAGTCAACAAGTCATCACTGAAATTGAAATCTGTCATTTAATAGACATTTGTATCCAATGCAAATGGTCCCACAGGGGCAACTCAGGGCTAAATGCCTTGCTCAAGGGCAGAATGGCACTGCAGCAGGACTGTGACCTCAGGAAAATCCCATCCCTGAACAACTGCAGGATCAGACACTAAACCGTTCAGCTGCAAGACCACAACTTTATTTGATTACTGCTATGCAGGCATTCCTGACCAATGAGATGCAGTATTAGTAGCCATACCTTTGAGCTGCAGGTTTGAGAGGTCGGAAAGTTTGTACATACTTAATTAGTAACTCAAAGACACAAAAACGTTTTGTAGGTACTACACTGGAAAACAAAAACAACAATCTGATATTATTAAAGCGTTAGTTCACCCAAAAAATGAAAATTAAGTCATTAATTACTCACCCCCATGCTGTACCAACCCCGTAAGACCTTCGTTCATCTTCGGAACACAAATGAAGATATTTTTGATTAAATTTGAGAGCTGTAAAACTACCACATTGGCTCCTAAGGGACTGGCTCTTGACGGCCCAGAAAGTCAATGAAGAAAATGTTTAAATATTCCATGTGACTACAGTGGCTCAACTATAAGTTTATCAAGCGACGAGAATACTTTTTGTGCAAAAAAACAAACAAAAATAACGACTTTATTCGACTATTCCCTTTCTTCCTTGTTGGCCTGAAACGAGACTTCCTTATAGATTTCCACGACGCATGCGCGAGAACTGAACTGAAGTAGTTAAAGGAGATTGCAATTATCGCGCATGCGTCGTGGAAATCGTATGGAAGTCTCGTTTCAGGACAACAAGGAAGAAAAGGAATAGTCGAATAAAGTCGTTATTTTTGTTTGTTTTTTCGCACAAAAAGTATTCTCGTCGCTTGATAAACATATAGTTGAGCCACTGTAGTCACATGGGATATTTAAAAAATTTTCTTCATTGACTTTCTGGGCCGTCAAGAGCCAGTCCCTTAGGAGCCTATGTGGTAGTTTTACAGCTCTCAAATTTAATCAAAAATATTTTTTTGGGTGAACTAACCCTTTAATAGGCCGCTCTGATTGCCGGAACTTTACTGTGAAAAATAAGGTAGAAACATTTTGGGTTTTACGATTGAATTGAACTTAAATTTACAGAAATAAAACATATGTTTTGATATTTCAACCACTTCTATTATTGATTGCTATCAGGATGTGAAGAGAGTTTCAACCAGTATAACAAAAACGGTTTATAAAAAGGCCTACCCTACCTTTAACTGATATAATGTTGATACTAACCTTCTGACTAGGACTAAAATCTATTTTGGACCTTTACAATACACTGACAACCATCAAAAACAAGTATTTTTCCCTCAAGCTGAGATAAATACTAATACATAGAAGGTGCACAGTGTCATGCACACAAATACAAAACACCATCATGGTAACATGACATTAAATTAATGCAATGAACATTATTTTAATTTCAAAATATAAGCTATAACAAAACCCATGTACATTCTGAGAAGAAAGAAAAAAAAGTTATTTGAAAAAAAAAATTAAATGTGAAAAGTCATATAACAATATATATTACAATAACTCCCACAATTTGCAATACACTCATGCAATTTGATTTTTCAAAAAAAAGTATTTAGGCAACAGTCAGAAGCTCTACCACATCTGTGCTCACTCATGCTTAATTGAAGCATAGAATCAATCGTTCACCTTTCTCTAAGGGTTTTTTTTCTTTACCTCTATCATTGCAAATCCTTATTCGTATTTACATGTTCGCATTTTCTGCTAAGTCTCTGATGGAGCTTATCAGATCACTCTGCCAATCAAATGCAAGATAGTCTGCCAAGCAGACGGAGTGTGCCAAATGCTTCAATGAATCAGACCCTAAATTTAAAGTTATTTCCTGTTATAATTTCAGACAAGCACATGCCATGTGCCATGTTTGCAGAATAAAAAGATGATTAAATGCAAGACTAAGGACAATTTAATATATGCAAATAAATGCAAAGAAATAAAGATTTTTTTAAATTACAATGACATCATTGAGATTTTGAATTGCAATTTTGCAACACAGAAGATTTCCCATCTTAACTTTCTTATAATCTATAAACAATTTTTTAATGTGCATTTATATAAATATGTATCTGTCTGTATTTTAAGGTGATTTGAACTGAAATAATCACAGACAATGGTGCAAAAAATAAGAAAAAGCAAAATAGGAATTTCAACGCAGTGCTGGTTTACAATGAATGTCTTGCACGTTCCGAAAACTTGATAAATCAGAGAACAGGAGCACAAAACATTATCACCAGTTTTACACAGCAAGACTTTCGACCACAACTCATTATACAATACAATTACAGTATGTAATACACAATCTTTCTTATTCTTGTATTTCTCGTTTGTTTTCTCTCTTATTTTTGAGATACAAGTACAATGTCATGCTGATTCAGAGTCTCATTTGCATGTTTTGAAACAGTGACTGAATGGAGACCAACAGAACTCAAGCTGTCTGGAATATAGCCAGAGGTTTATTTTGTTATGTTATCTCTCTCACTCTCTCTCTCCTCAGGTAGAGGGAGTGAAGCATTGAAAAGGTGTGAAAATATAATGAAGATTTGGTATGGCGCTGCGTCTCACAACAAAAGTTTAAACACATAATAATCCCTTCAGAGAGAGATACACCTTCAGTGATTCATTTCAAATTAACACTGAGACAAAACACAAGTGAGGCCTTGTGGACCCAGTGTCTTGAGGAAGAAGAGAGGATGGTGACGTGAAAGAGAATGAATGAATGAACGATAAAACAAAGGAATGGGTTTAATATAAGTTAACGAAGAAAATAAAATTCGTTCAACTAAAACTTTAACCATGATTCTTTCTTTTTTAAAAGAAACTGCTGGCCAAGTCAAAGCTATTTTCTGTGGTAGTTAACATTACGTCTCAAATAAAGATGATATTTTCTTGAAACCAGAACATTCCTTAAATGCTGTATTACATTATGTGTCTCTCATCAGGAAATTATAAATGAATAAAGTCTTCTTCCTCACCACAAGCGATCATGACATAATTCGAAGAGCCCCAGAGGACTAACACAAAAAAAGAAAGAATTAAAAAGTGCAATGTTTTGTGGCAGCCCTGGGGAGCTGCGATATGGAGGTTGCACGCTATAAAGCACGTAGCTTCGGCAGATGGAGGCAGCATCGTCCCAAAAACAGCATCTCTCTGTGTCACGAGTCCGTTCTTTATGGCGCTCTCAGGGCTACAAAGAGGATCATAATTCTAAGCCCAAACACCTCCGCTCTGATTTGTTTCAGCCACTGGTCCCAAGGCTGACGACACCCCACACATTTCTAACCTTTCACTTTCACTCCCTTTTTCTCAGGCCACTTTTCAAATGTCAAACATTCCTCACAACGCTGAAGATTTCATTGCGGCAGGCGAGACGGCATCACCCAAAGCTTCAACTCATATATACAGCGTAAAGAGTTCAAAATCTTTCCCTTGTGTTCTTGGAATTGTATTTCGGCCCATTTATTCCTGCCAATTTACCCTCCAATCAATTTCATTATGGCAGATAAAGTGACATGCGATAAATCCTATGGTATCTCTTCTATTTTATCCCAACCATGAAAAGTGAAATACTTGACATCTCTTGGTCTCTCCTAGCAACACTATGGCATTGTTCATATTGCAGTTTGTTCTGGTCAAGAATATGTTACAGGAAGAGACCCAACTTACATTTAAAGTAACCAACCAAAGTTCGTTTTGTTTTACATGTTGTTTAGGAGTGGATTTAACTGAAATAGACTATACCTCAATAATATAAATGTGGAAAAAAATACACAGTTTTACAGAGGTGAAAGTACTGATTATTTCACAGATACTACTCAAAACAAAGTAGAAATAGAAGTTGTGCCTGTGTGGGGACCTACAGTATATATTTAAAAGATTTTATCTATCTAATCTAATCTAATCTATAATATAATATAATATAATGATTTGTAAAGAATCATGTGACATTCAAGACTTAAGTAACAGATAATTAGACTGACGGTGAAAAAATATATTTAAACTTCTGTTTGCACTGTGCAAAGAGAAGTGCACCATTAGCTCACGTGATCAGCTCCGTGCCTCAGTTCAGTGAATAAACACAGTGAACGCTATCTGTGCATGTGCTTAGTTTAGCATA